AATAAAATTAAAAAAAAAAAAAAGTAAAAGAAACTTTGTTAGTTTTTAAAAATCAAGAAGTTAGTACAGAATAATTGTGCTACAGGAAAAAAATGCATTAAAATATTCCTGTTGGCTCGAACCACCCATGCATGACTGCACCACCCAACAGCACTGTCCCATGCTGCACGCACTACCAGAGGTTCAAGTTAGTGGGGACATAACACATTCAGCCCTGTCACAGCTCTCAGTCAGCAAGCTAACAAGGCTTCCACAAGACAAAGCAATGGTCCTATCTATAAGATAAAATTTACAGCATCTATATCACATTGTTCATTAGCAAATAATTCCTGTGACACTTGAATACAATTTTTATTAAATGAAAATCAAAACTATTTAATAAATCTATATTCAATGTAATATAAACAAAGGACAAACAAAATGTATATAGGAAAGAAACATGTGCACTGTTACTATACTTAACATGTTACCTTTACCAAAGAGAACTCTACATTAATGACTAAGTAGAAATTACATAAATATACAAATATGTTACTTTAAAACTTGTTTTTAAGATCAGTAAGCAGAAGTCTTACTGATTCTTTAAATCTTAAAACCCATAATTATTAATAATATTAATAATCCTGAAATAGGACAGAGGATGTAAGAATGGCCAAAGGGTCTGAGCAACAGCCAAATTAAAACATCACAAACTGGCAACTATGTGCAGAGAACTCACAGAACTCTCTTAGAATTCTTTATAAAACAAATAGTAAACAAGCTTTAAAGAATAGAAATATGATATCATAAAAACAAACTTAATAGAAATATAGGTATCATAAAACAATAAATTTAGCAAACATAACCCCAAGCTATTAAGTTAAAAAGTTTTAAATAAAAAAATCTGAGAATTGTCACTGCAAAAACTATAGTTAATATAGGGTAATATATTTTAAATGACAATAAAATTAACTGTAATTTTGGGACATAATTATAGAGATCTGCCGTTCCAAGGATATGAAAGTAGCCATCAATTTCCCAACAACCAGTTTTTGTATTTCTTGGAATGTATTTATGCTAGAGGAAGATTTAAGGGCAGCAGCTAATTGATCTGATGAGCTTTTCTTGGATATATGTGGCCCATGAGCTTAAGATCAAGAGGCAAAGCCACCAGTGGGAAGTATGCTCAATGCGGTGGGCCTTGAGGCCACTCTGGCCAGATTGGCAGCAGCCAGATGGAAGGCCAGCCACGTGGGAAGGGGATCTCCCCTTACTGAGGCCCCAACTTGCAGCAGATCCCACACGCAAATTATTCACATTCCTTGCAAAGAGAGAACAAACATCAGCTGTGTTCATCAAAAAGGAACATTGTACAGGTATACCCTGTATAGTTTCTAAAATCTCTGGGTTGCTTCTGCATCTGAAAAAAACAAAACACCAAAAAAAAAAAAAAAAAAAAACCCACAATGACAGACAACAAATTAGGAAAGACAAATCATCTGACCTAAAAATTCAAGACATAAGAAACTAAAAATGCAGACAGAGAAAAAAGATCAAAAAAAGCCTCATTATTTGGATACACTGTTCTAAAGGCAAATGCAGAAGAGAAAAACATTATTTTAATTGAAGTAAGAAAGGACCATAGCAACCAAAGTTACAAAAGAGTCATCTGGGAAAAAAAAAAAGTATGTTAGCATATGTAACCCTGAAGAATGGCAAGGTAAACAAGGACTCTAGATCTATCTGAAAGACGAAAAAAGCTGAATAATGAGAGTTAGTGTCATGCACTTAGCTGCTTAACTGCCTCTGTGTAAGAAAATATTCCAGAACTTTGAACTTAGGAAATTCCAACTTGTCTTGCACCAAGTCATGAGCTCTACAGAGCAAGAACCTATTTCAACAAGCAGCTTGAAAAAAACAAAAAAAGGAAAAAGGAAAAAAAAAAACCCCAAAAGACTTTAATATTTTTATTCTTACTAATGACACACTTAAAATGCAATATTGCTAAAATCCATCAAAGTAAAATGCACTGAATAAAAATTAAACTTACTCAGAAAGATGTTCAGAAGTTGGGATACAAACAGAAACTGAAATTAGAAGAAAAGTTTTATATGTATAAGACCATATGAACTATGGTGAGAAGAATGATAGCAAAGAGCCCATATTGTGGCTGACTAAAATAACTACTGAAACGCCAACATAGCAGTTATATATATACTTACTTACCTTTCTCTGTTACAATGTGGCAAACGTGAGTTTCATGTTGACTTAAATGTGTAGCCATATTATCTAAGCCAGAAACATCAGTTTGGAATTCACAACTAAGGCACACTAGAGTAATGCCCCTAATAAAAAGAAAAATAGCATAAGAGAAAGGTTTTTTTTTTTTAATCTTTTATGAAATCCATACATAATCTCAAAGATTCTTTTTGCATGATTTTATTTTTGTGTCATAACTGCAACTTATTCTGTCATACAAATTTGATATAACTGAAATGCTTACCTAGGAAAACAGCATAGTCATATCCAAATGCTATCCTTTACAGTATCTACAGAAAGTATTCGCTTTCATAAACACATCTCATTCCAACTGAGAAAAGCCAGGAGTCAAAAGACCTAACCAAGTCTTAGCTACACTAACAACTTGCACTAACACAGTCAAGACACACACTATTTGTTCCTCAGATCATCTGTAAAGTGATGATGTAACTGGGCATGGTGGTATACACCTATAATCCTAGCACCTTAGAGGCTGAGGCAATAGGGTCACTGTGAGTATGAGGCCAGCCTGTACTACATAATGAGTTCAAGGCCAGCCTGAACTAAAAAGTGAGACCCTGTCTCAAAAAACAAAAAACAAAGTGAGGATACAGTACTATTCACTCAATATATATATTTACCCAGTCTGTCTCTCAATATATTATACTACCAGCTATTATGAATATAATTGTGAACTAAAGTTCAACCATGCTCTAACGAAATTTATAAGTTTTTTCAAGGATAAAATTAAAGAGAAACATAAACATTTTTAAAATAGATCATGTGATAACTGCCATCAATTGCATGCTACCTCAGCTTTTGTATAACTGAACCAGACCAAATGTACTCACTGTATAGCACTTGCTATTTGAAACAAAATGTAGTAACTGGCACATTAAATCATATGTCACCAGCCTTAAGATTCTAATTAAAAATGTATTTAGACTTGTGTTTCTTAGTTAAAAAATATTTTTAAATATTAAGGCTGTATAATAATGAAGTTTCAGAGAACTTAGAAAAGTCTCCGTATTTTTAATGTATTATATTTACAGGCATAGAACAGTTTCATGGGTAAACAATGAACTGTGTATCTTTTGGACTGGACACAGTTAATTGGACAAAGGATGGAATGTGTAAATCAAAGTGGCTCAGAACATGTACTTTTAACTAGAATTTATAATTACATATTTTAATTTTGGAAAATGTGGATGAGAATATTTAGGTCTTATAGATAAAGTTGGTCTGTTAGAGAAATTCAAGTCCAGAGAAAATAAGATGATAAATATGCTTCCTCTCTTTCCTTTATTTGTTCTGGCTCTAACGACTCTACCTGAAAGTCCCTAAAAGTAATACTTCACTGAATTATTTTTGCTTAGGTTATTAAAAAAAAGATCATGCAAAGCAATCACTGTTATTGTCAGTGTAACAACCAAGCATATACACCTGAATTTCATTAAAGAGTACAAATAAAAGCTGGTACTTTACCAATATATGAATACAAATGGGATACCTCATCTCAAGCAGACTTATTTCTACTCTCAAGCTGTACTCTAACAGAATGGTGAATATTTACACTAACAGGTTACTCTGCTGTATTAACACTAAAATCTTAGACTTACTCCCTAAATCAACTTCTCATAACTGATCTGTCTTATGACACCATTTCATTTGACATTAAAGCTCAAACTATAATTATCTAATGCTTTTCTTCTTTAAATATTTAATATGTTGAGCATTTTATAACATCAATTTATCAAGCGCTTACTCTGTGACATATCTCATTTAAACTTACAAAAACCTAAAGAGGTAGGTGCTATAATTATCACCTTTTACAGGTAAGAGGTAGCTTAATAACTTACCAAGAACAGAGAACCAGCTGATAAAGATCAGATCAGGTTTAAAGTTGTGTATGTTGATTTCAGCACTCAAACCCTTGACTTCAACCTTGTTTCAATATAACGATTCTATACAAAATACTAATGGTTCTCCAATGCCTTGAGTTAAATTCAAACTCTTTATCCTCTATCGACATTGTCATTCCAGATAAGGGTGCTCTCCTCTGAAATAACTCATCGTACTGTACTTATTAAAATCCAGTTATTTATGGTCACACTTTCTCTCCCACCTAGTAAACTATATATGCCCTGAAGCTGGTTTCAAGATGGCTTCATCACTCTCTTTTATACAGTACCTACTACACTATCTACAAGACAAATGCACAATAAATGGACCAAAGTGAGTAATAAATTTCAATAAGTACAATTACAAAATTTCACATATATAACATTATGAAATTAAGTATGTTAAGTTCCATTCATAGAGAACAACCGTTTTTGAGACCTACCCAGTTGAGACCCAGCTAGGTTGAAAACCAAAAACATAACACCTCATCTCTTTAAAATTACATAATTCATTGAAGTCTATTTTTTAAAAATCATAAGCAAGCTTGGTAACAGTGAAGTAAAAATAAAAATCTGATTTTTAGAATGCAATAAAACCCTTTTCATTCTTATAAAAAAGTTTTCCAGAGACAACTCTAATGTAACTTAATCTACTAGATTGAATAAACACTTCAATAGTACTAGTATATTTTAAAATTGAATCAATTTTTTTCTTCCTATAAGCTACTGGTCAAACTTAAACAGGACCTACTATTCACAGGCATAACTTTCACCACATACATTAATTCCTCCAACAAAGATTTACTGAGTACCTTCTATATACCAGGCATAAATCCCAGCCATATACAATGTTGAGAGAAATAGACAATAAAGAAGTAAAATATATAATATCTTATACGAACTAGAGAAAAATAAAGCACAAAAAGAAAGTATTGCTAGAAAAACACAGAGAACAGGATGGAATTTTAAATTTAGTAGTCAAGAAAGGGCTTACTTATCAGAATGAAAATGAAGGAACTAATCATATAGTATTTGAGAAAGAACAAACTAGGCATGGGGAACAATAAATGCAAAAGTTCTAAGGCGTAACACTATTTCTTTTATCTTTTCTATTAAAGCAAGTATATTTTAAACTTAGTTCAATAAATTGGCTTGGAATGAAGACAATGATGCTTTGAAGAAAATGAAAACATTGAATAAATACGAGTTCAATGAAATCTGAAGTGTTAAGAAAATGATGTTCAATAAATGCTGAATTAAGTGTGTGAGATAACAAAAGCTGATTAACATGACATTTAGAAATATTTATCAATAGTTCTTTATACATAGTAAGTAGATAAGTTGTACACTTCACTGTACATAAAAAAGAAATGAAGACTCCCTGCTTTTCACCTCCCCCCATATATATATGGATTTTAAGAATTCTAGAGTTCAATGAATTTACTTCCAACTGAAAAGTGTTATCACTTTACTAGGTATATTAGTTATTTTTTAAAATTCAAATATTGTTGGTGAGTCTTATTTTTTTCACTTAACAATACAAATGCAGAAGTTTCATATTGACACTATCTGTCACCAAGAGGTCTAATGACATAATGAATAGATTAGTCTAATGATGTAATGAACAGATCTCCATAACATCCAACTGCAGTCACTTTGATTTCCAAACTGGCACCATCATGTGTTATGGTTTGTATCTAGATGTCTCACCAAGGCCTCATGCAGTCAGAACTGGGGAATTTCAAAGCTGGCTGGATTACAATGTGTGAATGTGGATGTAATACTGGGGTTAAGAGTATGGGTGTCATCAGTCCATAGGCATGTAGCTCAGATGGTCCATAAGGGACAGAAAGAAGGCACGCTTGCTGCTTCTGCTGTTACTTGCTGCTGCTACTGCTGCCTCCTTCTATGCCATGAACTGTTTCTTCTCTGTGATGCCCCTCTGCCAAGCTAGCCTGTCATGGAGCCAGCCAACTATATAGACTAAAACCTTTACAAACTGTGAGCTAAATAAACCTTTTCTCCCTTAACTTGTGGGTATTGGGTATTTTGTCCCAGCAATGAAAAAAGTAAGACATCAGGCTAATAAAAAAGTTACAACAAACCACAATGATAGGCTACTTTAAGCCTACTAAGATGGCAAAGAGATAAAACAAGTACTGTAAAAGATGTGCAGAAACTGGAACCTTTATATACTACTGGCAGGAATGTGAAACAGTGGTGCTATTCTGGAAACCATTCTAGCCATTTTTCAAAGCCTCAACACAGAATTACTGTATTACCTAACAAGTACAATCCTACGTACATACTATAGAGAAATAAAAGGATATATCTATACAAAACTTATAGACAAATGTTCATTGCAGCATTACTTATAATGGTATCAAGATGAAGATGATCTAAATGGATAAACTTTACTAAGGGGGGTATATTCCTAAAATAGAATATTATTTAGCAATTTGAAAAAATGAAGTATATTCTACAACATGCATAAAACTTGACAGGCAGTCACAAAGATTCACATAGGGTGTCACTGCATTATATAAAATATTCAGAATGGACCTACACAACATCAAGTTGAATTGTGGTTGCACGGAGATGATAGGGAGAAATGAGGATGACCACTAATATATGGATTCAGAGTTTCTTTTTTGAGTAATAAAAATGTAAAATTAACTGTGGTAACTGCTGTATAAATCTGAATAGAATGTTAAAACCCATTAATTGTTAAATGTATGAAACTATACCTCAATAATGTTATGTGCAAAAAAAAAATTAAATTTTAGCCACTGTTCAACAGAAAGAATTTAAAAAATTGATTAGTTACCTGAGATCTTCTGAATGCTTCTTAAATATGCAAAACCTTTTACTTGGACGGTTACTATGAAAGCTAGAGACAAAAGAAATTTTAATAATTTTATTATATAATGTCATATTAACTTGTATTTCACATATAAGCTTAAGTATCCAATTTTTAACAAAAGATAATGACGTAAATACTGAAATGTTTATCTTTACTTCAACATTTTATCTTACATTCAATTTTACCTTTTTATTTTCTACTGATATATGTTCCTTAGGTATTCTTAAATGATTAGTCATTATTATATAAAAAAGGAAATGTTCAAAGTTGAAAAAGTAAACAGCAAATTAAAGTTTACTATTAAAAATACTAGATTTTTGCTAACAATCCATTTTTACTAAAATTTGCTAATTTTTAAACTCACTGTCCAATCTTAACATATTTATGCAGAAGGAGAACACAGAATCCAAATAACCTAGAAAGTATCACTACTTGGGCTAAATGCTTACCATCTGTATATTCAAACCTGTAGAGAGTTCTTTGCAATTACTAATAGAAGTTAAAAAGAAAACTACACCTCAAGAATTAAAACAAAAGCTTCCCCTAAGCAGATCAGAAACTCATTCAACTTCATAACCATTAATAAATAGTAGCTCTTATACAATTTTTTAACTCTAATAAGAAAAGCTTGCAGTATTAGAATACCAGGATTAGAGAGAAAGTCATGCCCAGGAGTCTCCTTTAACAAGCTTTTCCGCTCACACCTACTCCCATCCTGTCCAGTGCTACAGAGCTAATCCAGAGCCACTGGAGTGCTAGGCAAGTGCTTTACCACTGAGCTAAACCACCAGGATTTCAGTGATTCTTATACAAGCTCAAGTATGCGAATCAATAGCCAAGATGCCAGGTAAACTTGTACTATCACAGCTGCGGAGCCAGGGATTGAACTCAGGCCCTTGCGCTTGCCAGGGAAGCGCTTATTCAACTGAGCTATCTCCCTAGCCCCAACAGCCTCCACTTTCACTACAGGAAAAGAGACATCCCAGCTAGCTGTAACTCGCACAAAATATCTCAAAACATTTTCAAATAGTCATTTTATCAATCTAGAGGTAACTGCTATTACAGAGTTTAGAAATTAAGCCAATTCTTATTCTTTGTATAAGAATACAAAAGCATCCACAGTTCACAAAAACAAAAATTTACCCTTTTATTATTACAGCTCTATAAAGATTTCAGTATTTCAAAAATGAACTTAGAAGAAAAACCTTGGGATTACAGTATGGCAAAAAATGTTAAGACATAGGTTTAAAAAGTCTGCCTCCTGCCTATCTTAGCTTTCACAAGTTTTAAAAAAAATTAAATCTGCCACCTAGTTATAAAACTGCATGAAATTATCAAGGCCATTAAGCAATTCTCTATAAATGCTTATTTCTCCCAAAACAAAACCTAACTACAAAATAAGACTTAGCATGATTTCTTAGTAATATAAATTCTACGCCCAAAATAGACCCAGTTAAGAGCCTCAGCGAGATGAACACATTAAGTATATCTGCTCTACACACGATGACAATGAATTCTGAAATACTACTAATCAAGTACATTGACATTAATACTTATATGAATTACAATAAAGTAGTTGTCAATACCCACACAGGAGCCTCTGAAGGAGAGTTACAACTTCATGTATTTAGTACAGGGTCTAACTACATAGACTGGACTTGTAGTGATCCTGTTTACAGCCTCCCAAGTGCTGGGACTACAGGTGCACACCACTACACCCAGTCTCAATGCCCATCTCAGTGTGACCTGGGGGTAGGGCCAGCACCACAGTCCCGGAATGGAACACCCGGCCCCTGCGTCTGCCTAACTAGGCACTTTACTCCACTGAGCTATCTGGCAAGCCCTACTGAATGACAGTTAAATACTTAGGTAAACAGATGAACTTGAGACTTACTGCCAAATGACCACCTTGAGTACAGACACAATGCATAAAAAATGTGCATGTTCAATAATGAAGACATAACTGTGTCTAATATGAATCTTTGTCATTCAGTATGTTCTGTGTTGTAACAGACATACTTAATGCACTCATATGAAATAAACGTTTTCTGAATTTTGGTGCCAGCAAGTTTTGTGGACCATCATTTTTAAATGCCATCATTTCTTAAGTCTTCAAAATTAGCATTTAACTTAATGGAAATTTCGTGAAGCCCAGCTTAGGAGGTTGTGCCTTGCGTGAAGAATTCATGGGATAAAGGTACTAACAGCTTTGTTACCAAATCTATTACAAGGAAGTTACATGGACAAGAAGTGCTCATATAAGGATAGAGCTACTGCTGGATGCAGCTCCAAGAAATTCAGCCCAGAATTCAGCATCTGGGGAATTATGATGACTTTCCAGAAGACATAACTAAATATAAATACAGATTCCTGTACATACAGATTTCTAAACATGAATAAATCCAGATTGTTGTACATATAAGATATCTGAAGTGAAAAATAGCCCAGATGCATCTTTTAGAGGAAAAATTAATATAAAACTTAGTCTTATTTTCAAAGAAACAGGGTAGGTAAATTATACCTCAAAAAATAACCTGATAAGATTCCACTTTGACCCTATTTTCTTAATTTTGAGTCTACGCAAGTAACAACTTTACTTTCTAAGGAACATACAAAAATGTATTTCTGTGACATCTTACAACGTTGATGGTACCTACTGTCTAAGACTACAGACTAGATGTTCGGGATACAATACCAAAGAATGCAAGTTTCCCAAGAGTTCATGGTTAGGGATAAGTGAATGAGGGAGACGGACAGTGGCTGGACCAAATAAATGTTCAATATGAATTTGTAAGATGAATACATATTAATAAATAATGTGAAACAGAAGTCAACACTGGCACAGAGCTCAGTGGTTACTCTGAAAGACAAGTAGAAGGTAGATGAGAAAGGGCAAGCCAGACGGCTCAGCAGACTAAAGCGCCTGCTTAGGCAGGTGCAGGGACCGGGGTTCAATCCCCAGCGTGCCATGCTGGCTCCACCCCCCGGGACATGCAGAGAGGGTGAATGAGACTGGGCAAATGAGACTGAGTGTGGTGATGCACGCCTGTAATCCCAGCACTTGGGGGCTGAAAACTGGAGGATCACTCTGAGTCCGATCTGTGTAGTGATACCCTATACTAAAATATATTTAAAAAAAAAAAAAAGGAGGTTGATAAGGTTGAAATCAGCTAACCATCAGTTCACTTCAATTAAAAAGGGTACATGAATATGATCAATGCAAACTGCTTGCATGTATGGAAATAGCACAGTGAATCCCACTAGAATGTGTTACATTTTTTTAAGTTAAAAACAACATTTAAAAAAAAAATTTTTATTTACTGCATTATCTTGCCAGCCCTGAACAACACTTACTATTTGGCTGTAGTCAAGGCAGTGCAATGAGCAACTGTGAAGATATGGAGGGATTTTCAAGTAAATAAAAGGAACTGAAGGAGTGGAAAACAAGTTGGAAATTGGACACTAAACTGTCTCTTGTTCTTCAGAAAATTTATCCTATCAATATTAGGAAACAAAAGTATTTTAAGACAAAAACAAACAAACAATCTGAGTAGATATGCCTACTCCATTAGAAGAAAACTGTAGGCAAAGCACCATTACAATGCGCAATCATAGCAAACCAACTGCTTTTCTAGTGACTAATATCAATATTAGTATTTTACATACAGTAAGTGTATGTAAAATGTAAGGCTAGCTCATGTGGATCTTACGAAATTTCATTACTGTCTTATCCACTGTATAAGAACAAACTTTTATGCCATTTTTCCTTTTCCTTGGAAATTCTAAAAAATCACCCTTCAAAGTCTCAGTGAAATGCCATTTACAGAAGTCTTAAAGAGTCTGTCCTCAATCCCTCTGTGTTATCACTGTTGTTTATCACCCTAATCTGAGCAGTATCACCCCCACTGAAGTGTGGAAATTAAAGTCATGGGTTTTACCCCTAACACATAATGATTGATCATTACCAACTTATCACACTTCTTCACAGTCAACTGTGCCTTCCCTTTAAGTACATAGGAATATCTGTCGAAATCAATCTGGCCAAAATGAACTCTGATATAAAATAAGAGTCATCAGGAATCCCCATTAACTAATTCTGTTTCTCTTACATGTAGGGAGGAAGGAAGCGTTCTTACACATCTTCTCTGAGGAATAACAATATTATTATACAACAATCCCTTTGTAGGTTTCAGATGATTATAACAGCACTACTTAGAAGCTATAAGTAAATAAGGTGTAATTTACACAGGAGACACCTTAAATAATGCCACTTAAAAAAGATCAAATTACAAATTTAACGATGGTTTTCTTTGAAAGTGTTAATTCCACAATGCTGCAATTGCTTCAAAATTTTTAAATAATTCTTTGAGATTATATTTAGGGCCTCCTAAATTACAAGACCAATGACTGTCACCTGCAGTTTGTAACATGCTAGGTGATACAAAAACTACAAACAGCTTCTTAGGGATATAATATACAAATACTACAATAACAGAATAGATGAATGGCACACAATTCAAAGAAAGGAATGCTTGTGGCAATCAGATACTTTAAAGAAGGTAAAATGAGAGAAAAAGGTAAGTATAAGCAGAAGGATCTTCAGGGATTAATCAATGTGTGAGACTAGGACTCAGTAAAATGGACTGGTGAACAAGACCTACTGAGAAGCTTCAGAAGTGATACGGCGTGGGAGAGGCAAAGGTGCACATCTGGAGGAGGTGAATCTTCTCCACATATAGACCTCAAGCCTAGAATAATCTCTAAGGGCATGCCGTTCAGTGGGAGTACAATTCTTACGACAGTAGAAAGGCAGTACCACTGAAGTACAGAACAAGGAAAACACACCCAGAAAACCCAGTCCAAGTGGCAATGAAGGCATCAGTTTCATCATAGGCTAAAGATGAGAATAAGCTGTGTGCAAAAATAGTTAAGTACAGGATTGGGGCTCACTGGGAATTTGGAAAAGGGTAAGGAGGGCATCTGGGCTGACTGGGAATGTCAGGACAGGTAAGCAGACTGTGATAAATGGGGGGAGGAAAGGCAAAACCGCTCTGGGTTTAAGAAACAAAGTATTTTCCAATTTGTTCCACTATGAATTAAGGGCAGAATTAAAGAACCCATTGGCTAGCTACGCATTTATCATAAAAGACCAGCAATTCACCTAGTAACACACTAAAGACATGTAGGGCCTGACAGTAACCAGGACATGTATATGTGACACTGCAGCAGTGGGCAGGCAGGAAGGGGCAGGCTCAGGAAGCCATGGTGTGCAATGGACCACAAAGAACTTCATGAGCTGCAGAAACTTGGAAGAGTAAATAATTTCCAGCTAGTACACACAAATGATGTCCTTGAAAGAGACGGTGATTAAAAGATGGCAGTCATGTGAATCGTGGACAGATAATACAGTATGTGGGCTTCTTTTCTGTTGTTTTAGAGATGCCAGTGAATCTGAGGCAAAATAACCTACAAAACAGAAATCAAGTTGAGTCTAAGGAAAATTAAGGATGGAAAGTAATTTAAAGTTGAAAGCAAAAAGTGAGAGGAGATAAATTTCTAAGAAAAGGATGCATACAGTTAAGGAAGACACAGCAATGAAATAGAGGTACAACCAAGAAGGAAAAGGTGGTAGGAAAAGTTTAATAGAAGCTCAGAGAGTAGTTTCAAAAGTGAATGACAACAAAGTCAAGCGTTTCAATGCAGTCGAGGAGGAACGAGAATGACAAAAAGCAAATAAATGTGGTAACTCCACAGTAGATAATCTTTAAAGGGACAGTGTCATTTAATAGAGGTAGGACTAAAGGGTAAAAACACAAATTAAACATAGGCTGGGTAACATTGTGTTGATACTGGCAAGAAATAAGGAAAAAAAACCCTAAACACACACACAGTAGGGAAAAAAATCTCCCTTATTCTCAAAACAAGTAATGCTAAAGGTCTGTAAGGAATTATTTATAAATTTTATTTTTTAAAAAATGGAATAGTATCACATTGAATAAGCAGCATATTACGTTTACATCTGAGCCAGGCATAGTGGTGCATGCCTCTAATCCCAGCAGTCAGGAGGCAGAGTCAGGAGGAGCGCTGTGAGTTTGAGACAGCTTTGGTTACACAGTAAGTCCAAGACCAACCTGAACTGGCAAGACATAGCAAGACCCTCTCTCAGGAAGAAAAAAAAAAAAAAGCAATTTTTGACAATTTTAAAAAAATTCATCCTCAGGCCAGGGAGATAGCTCAGTGGCTTAAGCACCTACCTGGCAAGCACAAGGTCCTGAGTTCAATTCCTAGTCCCCCCCCCCGCCCCCCCAAAAAAAATCCATCCTGAAGGAATAAAGTATTTTTTTTCCTAATAAGACCAAATAATAATTACTGTGAGGCTCTGAAAGGTTTCCTTAGCACAGAGTAAATGATAGATATGCAAACTAAGTTGAATGAACTACGAAAAAGAATTCCAATAGTGGCTTTGTGACCAGAGAGGTCTCTCATTTTCACTAAAAGGCTATGAGCACAGATACGGCTGGCTGGCTGGCTATGTGAACAGAGAAGCATATTACAGGGAAAGATGGAAAAGAAACAGACCTATAAAGTTGCTGACATCACTGAAAATCCTGAAGTCTCTCAAAGTGACTGCTTTGAAAGGACAGCATTCATGAGAATACATTTATTAATCTGGCAAATATATTTAAAGCATTTAAATAGTTTGAAAATAACTATTTTCAGACATCCTACAGGAAAAAATGAATTGTACTGAATCATTATTTTCCTGCCAACCTATCCTAATTTCATTACTCTAGTTCAGTAATATCTTGACTTATTATGCTAGAAAACAGTACAAGGCAATATCTCAGAATTTCCATCACTAGCTCCTTTTAGCTAAAGAGAAAAACTACCTTCTAATTAGATAACTTTGTTTTCAAAACAAACACTTCCTGAACTATAATTGCCAATTTACAGCTTTAACTCATCTTACCTCATCATATGATTTACATAGGATTTGCTACAGCTAGTGTTGTATCTGCAAAAACTACAGTGGACGTATGTAGGAAAATGGTTTGCAAAATCTTTTATTTCGGAACAACACTCAATGCAGTTGTGAACACCCCGACGATACCTTAGTGGAGACATAAAATGATATAAACACATTTTAAAACAAAATCAAAAGTGACAGCTGTATCACTGTTCTATTAACTAAAGTGTAATGTTCTAAGTCTAAACTGGTATTGTACAGGGATAAAACATTACCTTAAATTCCTCAATGCTGTATTAACTTTACTTTTTTTATTGCTATTAGCCAATGTACTTTGTTTCTTTTGCACATTAGAGATTTTTGATTTGTATTTAGATTTATTTCCATTAGGCTTATTTCCACTAGTTTTACTTGCACTGGATTTGTGTGTATTGGGTTTACTTAAGCTTAATTTTGTGGGATTTTTTGCAGTTAAGTTTTTTGTCCTTGGAGGTGAGAGCTGAAGGGTAGAAGTGCTTGCACTAATAGAAGGTGTAGGCGAAGATCCTGATTGAAGAGGTGCAACTGAAGCTCGAATGGTAACCTATGAAAGTGAAGAGAATATTTACTTTAAAAAGTAACTGTTAATATTAAGATAACACTGTACAAAAGAAAGTAAACATCAACTATTTTGAAAAGACCATAGAGTCACTATAATTGGGTTTAGTCTTCTATTTACATTAAATGCTCAAAACAATTAAATGAAATTAAACTTGATATTTACTTGTAATATTATATTCTGTACTGACATCAGTTATGTTAACATAGTTATTAATGGATAATTAGGAGTTAATGCAAACCCTATGAATATCAAAAGTACATTTAATACCTATTTTAATGCTCTGATAGAATTTTAAAAATTCATAAAGATAGAGCCCAAAATTTAAATCATAAATCCTGAAAAATAACTCTGGAAAGTCCTGTATTACTTTTGGCAACTATAAAACAAAGATATACAGTAAATTTGACCTTTTATTTCTGGGGCTTGTTGACCAAGATTTATGTTTATAAATATTTTAAGAAGGGTCACATCAATTTATGATACTGTGCAGAGTTTAATATTTAGCATTTTCTCAAGGGAAATTAACACAAACTTTATCATTTACAGTTCAAAAAGAAAATAATTATATCTGCTGGTTGACAACAGGAAACACAATTGCCTACTAACACTTTCATTAATCATCTGGCTATGTTCTTTTCATGTATCTGAGGAACTGCATATAACAAGCTCCCACAAATTCCATGTGTTTAAGTGTGACATAAAAGCACTATGCCAGGAATCAACGGATCCGTAGTTACATCTCATACTAGCCCTTCCCAGGCATAGGACCTTAAATAACTTATCTTCTTTAAGTCTTTGCAAATCTGTAATATAGGGGAATCCTTGATTGTTGTATGGAATAACAGGATGCAGGAAAAAGTGCACCAGAAGGCTAAGTCTAAGGTACGACATAAACGTTTAGTACCATTATCATTAATATTATTATTAATAAGGGAAGAAATGAGAAGAGGACTGCACTGCTTACATTAATGTTCTGCATGTCTAGTCCCAGCATGAAATGAATGGACTGCAGGGAAGGACGCTTGGATAGCTTCTCTTGCTCTAGGTCTTCAGAGCATGGCTTTATATTGTTTTAGTTAGTTCAATAACAGACATACCCACATTCAAAGGTAAGTACCCAAAGCCAAATATAAATGTTTTGGGAATTATTTCACTTTGGATTATCCATGCCTCTGTTTCCCTCCACTGGAGCAAATATTCAAGAGCTGACTGTATATAAAGAAGTTAGAGAAAACAGATGTATATAAGGCAAAAAGGGAAAAGTAAATTACATTCATCAGTATGTTGTCAGACATGTGCTTGCTCACTTAAAAACACAATGCTGTATAGCAGCAGAACTTGGTTCTCTGAGTGTAGACCCAGAAATAGCAACTTCAGCAAACATTTGAGAACCTATGGTCACTCAAGGCATACAGCAGATAGATAATGGGAATACAGAGATAAATAAAATTATTCCTGACACCAAATGTCTTATAGTTTAGCTGCTATAACTGACAGACATGGTGCTAACTGTAATGGTTAAAAATAGTTTATATTACCAAAAATAGCCCATTGACCCAGGGAAAGCTACTCTAGTTGCACTTATTATGAAGGAATACCATTCTAACATAGCACCTGCCAATGAACTGAAAATGATAGGAGTTTTCCATCTCTATACCTAAGAATAGCAAAGATTAAAATTAATCTTCATAAAAACAGAAGTCATTTTAAAAAATACTATATGATGGTACCTTGCTTCATAAACTTAATTTGAGGCACAATTCTGGAAAAGATGCTCACTTTTATGTTCATCACCCAATGCTAAGTTCACAAACACAAGCAAAATTTTGCCAAATGTTTCTGTCTGAAAATCAAATTGTTTGCAAACAAAAGCATTTGTGAACCAAAGTACCACTGTACTCAACAGATAAAAACAAAAAGGATTTAATTTTTATTATACTATGTAAAATAGTAAAATACAAAGTATTCTAACTCACTTTTGTTCCAGGAGGCAATCCTTCTAGTTGTTTAGGTTTTACAAATGTTCGATGATGCTGGGTCTTATGATCCAATTTTTCCTTGCATGTCAAAAATTGCAATCTGCATTTTGTACAACGATGTATTCCTTTTTTCTGGTGGAAAGAGAAAAGGGAAAAACATTTTCTAGTAACCATAAATATATATATCCTAAAATTGCTCTAAGTTAATTTTAATGGTAGTTTACTTTCTCTTAACATAAATAATATCAAATGTCATTTTAGTCCTTAAACTTTAATTAATATTTGATCTTCAAAAGTGTTCATTACTATATAGCAATCAAATATGAAAGTTCTAGTAACAGGTTCTAATGAAAATTCTACTAATTATGGTGTGAAGTTCTTCTAATTATAAACCTAAAGCGTTTAAACACATGACATTATGAGAATAAGCCTATCCCTATTTTATCCTAGAAATACATTATCAAAAAATTTTTGCTATTTCCAATTGACAAGTTAGTAAAATAAACTCTAAGGCCATGTAAATCTTAACTAGATATTTCAAAGAAGGTTATATAAAAGCAGTCTTGTCCAATAAAACCTTCTGCAGTGATGCATATATGGTCTAGAGCTGCACTGCCAAACATGTCGCCGTGATCCAGAGAGAGATGGTTACTGAACACCCGAAATGTGGCAAGTGTAACTGAGAAACTAAACTTTTAATTCTATTTAATTTAAATTCAAACGGCACCATGTGACCAGTGGCTACTACAACAGACAGTATGGATATGAAGGTATAAAAGAGAACAACTAATGCCTATCTGCCTGTGGGCTAAGAACTCCCATGGCGAGCACTTTTCTCAAAGCCTTGTTCTCTTGTCATCTACAGGCAAGAAAGGAGACCCAAGAAAAATTTACTCCACTTTGCCATAACACTGTCACACAACTGAGCCAGTGTTCTTCTGCTATATGACATCAACTGAAATCTTTATCTACATACTCTTATTACTATAAAATGTCTTTATATGTTTATGCATACACATACAAAGATATATTTAAGGGGCCAAGGAGATGGCTCAGTAGAACAAGCACTTCCCTGGCAAGTGCAAAAGCCTGAGTTCAATCCCTGGTCCCCCCCAAAAAAAACCCAAAAACAAAAACAAAGATATATTTAAAACATACAACTACAAAAGAATGCCTTCTCAAAACTTGTGTCTCTAATAGATAAATCATTATTTCTACTTAAATACAACCAATCATTTATACAATTCAAATGAGGTTATGCAGAAGGATGTACCCAGCACAGTCACTGGCATACAACAGCATTTCATAAATAAAGCCAGGTAAGAAAGTCAAATACCGTACTGCATGTTCTTACTCCTATGTGGAATAGAAAGAAGTTGATTTCATAGAAGAAAGTGAAACAGTGGTCACTAGGGGGTAGGAAAAGTAGAATGGAGTGGGGTCAAGGGAGGTCAGAGAATGAGTGACAGGAAGTATTGCCAAGTGTGGTGGTGCATGTCTATAATCCCAGCACTTGAAGGCTGAGGCAAGAGGATCACTGTGAGTTTGAGGCCAGCCTGGGCTGAGTTCCCAGCTAGGCTGAACATAGTGAAACCCTGTCTCAAAAAAAAAAAAAAAAAAAAAAAAAAAAAAAAAAAAAAAGAAAAAAGAAAAACTAAGATAGGCTATATTCTAGTGTTCTACAACATGGCAAGGTGACTATGGTTTTTGACAACTTTTACATGTTTTGTAAACAGCCAGAAGACAGCAGCATAAAGGTTCCCAACCAAAACAAATGATAAATGCTTGGGAGGGAAATACTAATTACCCTCATCTGATCACTGTATGTTGTATCAAACTGTCACACTATCCCCCATGAATACTATACGCATAATGATGCCAAAATTATTTTTTAAAAAATAGAAAAGTTTGTTGCATGCTCAAAGTATCACATCAGAATGATATATTAACGACTTTAGTTGAATCTTAAAAGTAGTGCACTGGATTATTTCAGAGGGACAAACAATTTCACTTGTCCATGTTCAAGGAAGAAGAAGAAAAAGAAAAGTTTGCCAAAAAGGAAATACTGAAACAACAGAACAGAAATACAGTTTACCAGCTTAATTCCTAGCAAGCTCTTCTCCATTAACACTCCCTAGATTACCTCATCCAGTTCCATGACTTTATTACCATGCACGCAACAGCCCACTTAACGTTATTACTTCATGTCTAATCATGTTTCTCAAATCAACATGGACGAAACCACACTCCAGATTTCTTCTCTATTTCCTTACTCCCACCTTCCAAATCTTTCCTCAGTCTTTCTCATAGCTTAGAATATGGGAATTTTATTCCTACAGCTGCTTAAGACAAAAACTCGGTTACTCTCCTATCACACATCTGTGTCTCATATCTCACATTAGTAACACCTATCAGTTCCTCAGCTCTATCTGCAAAAGCACTCCATCTTTCCACTTGTCATTCCAAACACTGCTATCATACTGGCCTAAGCCAATCATCTGGACTATTATAAAAGCCTTCTAACTTCTTCCCCTCATGTCCTTTCTTCATTATTCTTTCCTCATCTTCCCGTGATTCTTAAAATACACCAGATCTTTCCTTTAAAACCTTGCACTGGCTTTCCAAAGCCCTGACTCTGGCTTATCAGGCTCCACATGAACTAGCCTGCCTGCTATTGCTACAACCTCATCTCCTATTTTTCAGCCTCTCAGCCACACTGACTTCCTTGCCTATCTTTGAAAATCCCATAATTTATACACATACATATACCTATACATATATACACACATACTTGAACATATACACAGTCATTACACTGCCTACACTGTATATCACTTTAATATTAATATTCCTTTACATAAGCCCTCATATAACCAAGCTTGTATGAAAAAGAGCAAAAACTCCATTTATACCACCTCCCCATTCTTGGATACTCCTTACCCTCCACATGTTCCACCCACAGAACTTGTTACCAACATATACATTCAAACACAAATACATACACTGTACACACTATGTTTCTGCACTATTATGCAAACTCTAAAAGGCATAGACTTTGTCTTGCTTATATTTATTTATTGAATACCTAACAGCCCTTGGCATGTAGTGAAGCAATTTAAATAAATACTGGTTAAACAGAGAGACAGAAAGCAAGTTCAAAAGAACTGGCATTCCATTCAATGAACATTTGTTCACAGTCTTACAAGATCCCAATTTACCATTTCCTCAGCTGGAATCAAGTCTTATGCATCTCTTATGTGCATGTATATGCACTTTATTGTGTTAGGATGAACATGCAATATAATTCTTTTTTGATAACATGAGGTTCAAGAAAGAAACAGCAATCCTTTCCAAGTATTCAGAGAAACACTGTTTGGGGTGTGTGTGTGTGTGTGTGTGTGTGTCTCTCACTGGGGACTGAACCCGGAGCCATCACACTGACCTACATCCCAATCCTTTGTTTTTTAAGACAGCATCTCTTGAAGCCACTAAAATGCAAAGGCTGAGCTCAAACTTGTAATTCTCCTTCTTCAGCTTTCCAGAGGCTGGGACTAGAGGTGTCTGCATCATACTTGGCTTATAATATATTTCTTAATAAGAATACTGTGTTGTTCTTACTACATATAATTTCTTCCTCTGGATCTAATACCAATGTGAAATCCAATTCAGTTCCAGAGTAGTAATGTTTGAGCTTTGAAGTCAAATTCTGACTCTGCCTTTTACTAAACGATGTGACATTAAGCAAATTACTTTCTCTTAAAGCTGACTCCTCATTTAAATTGGAAACAATAACACATACGGTTGTCGTGATGAAACAAGAAAATGCATGTGAGGAGTAAACAACCTGCTGCCATTAGTAAGGTAAGTGATTAGTATATACAAACTGCTTCTTTTTCTATTAAAGATTGAATAAATTTATTTAAAACATAAGTTCTTTCTGTTCCTTTGCTTTAAACTAATTATTTAACTGAAACGTCATATATCTTTCTCCTGTAGTGATTTAGAGGATCTTCAAGCTAATATAAATACTATATAAATATTTGGTCATTTGGGTATACACCTGCACAATACTCTGTATCTTTCAGGAAAAAAAAATTAAGGAGTAAAAGCCTGACACAACTAATTATGTTCAATAGGAGCCTGTTCCAAGTTACTTGTTTTTCTGAGGTAAAGGTACCACACACCTGTTCAATTAGGAAAACCGTCCTTACAATTCAGGATGCTTTATTTTTAAGCAGGGCCTAGAAACACCTGGCCACAATTAGGAACTGAATGGCAGAGTGCCATCCCCAGCTTATGCCATGAACTCATAGAGAACAGGTTCCAGGAGCTCAGGCTCCTTCTCATTAGCTCTCATGAAGTATCCCCTCTCTGGATGGGGCAGGCTGCCGCTTCAGGTGAACCCAGGTGCCTTTCTCTCTGGCTTCCTTCCCCTCTGATACTTTTCTTGATGCATTTCAGAAAGATATCTCATCTCTTAAGAGTGCTTAATATAACTGACATGCACATTAATTCTTTTGGCAAGAACCTTGCTTTAACTTGCTTGTTTACAACGATGCCAGCAGAACGCTGGGCAACACTGTTCTCTTCCAGTTTGCTTGGGTGACATCTGTGTGACATTCCTTTCTGAACAGTAACTGTTCCACTGATGTCTACAATATCACCCTTTTGGTACGTTTGCATATATGTAGCCAAAGGAATAACCCCATGTTTGCTATTGTCCTTTTGGCAAATTACAGGAGGATGGCGGCTCTGGCTGAAAGAAGGCTCATTATTTCTTAAAAGTTATAAAAACTAGACTGTCAGCTCTAGTCACCCTAGATACAAATGTTTAATTTTTTTAAAGGTACAATACAGATCTGTAAATACAATAAAATGATACACAGAATCAACAATTCTTATTGGCTAATATTACACTAATAATGTCATCTCTATTACAAGTTTATAATCCCACTCAGCTATAATTTTCTAGCCTTTCATAAATAGTTACACAAATTGTAAATATGCAGGAGGATGTTTGATAGTCTTTGTTATTAATGAATACATAGATTACTCTTTTTAACTCAGGGTTCTCTACTTCTCAAGGACACCAAACAAAACAAAAAAGAAAACTGAGCACCCAAGACTACTCTAGATATGAAGATCTGATTGTAAATTGTAATTACTCACATATCTTGATCCCAGTCATCATTACTCCCACACCTATATCTCATTCCAGAGCTTAATAAAGCATCTGGGGAAAATTAATGAAAAGCTTCATAGTAAAACAGCCACTGCTTCATATCTTAGTCTCCTTTTACAAGTCCAAAAATGAAATGCAGAATAACGAGAATAGTTCTTCCCACACTGTTTATCCAAAAAGAGGAAAGAGAGAGAGAGAGACAGAGAAAGAAAGAGAAAGAGAGAGAGAGAGAAAGAGAGAGAGAGAGAGAGAGAGAGACAGAGAGACAGAGACAAAGAGACAGAGAGACAGAGAAAGACAGACAGTTGATAGACATCATTCAAATAAAGGGTTTGCTAGTCAAATAAGTTTGGGAAATGAGATATACTCTATTATCTTGGAATTACAAAATGTCCATTAGCACATTAAAAGCTCCAAGAAGCTTTATCATTTTAAAAAGACAAGCAAAACTGCTTAATTTTGTATATTTAAGCATTTACCAAATTTATTAACCAGACAATTTCAGGCAAAGTCTCGTTAACACCTGATGTAACCTGTCAGGAGACCTTACTTGCTAGAATTTCTCAAGGATGGATGATACCCCAGTGACAACACAGGTGATCCCTAATTCATTTGGAAATTGTATTTTTATGATCTTTCCCAATGAAAAGCAACAACATGATTTCATGATTATCTAACAAGTAAAACTGACAGCAAAGTGAATACCCATGGTGAACAACTTTGTACCAACTGGTGTGACAATGTCATGGATAAGAAGATGCACTGAAGCTTTTGGTGAATAGGCAAAACCTGGTTAGACAATTATATCCGGAAAACCCACTGGCTTCTGAATTTGACAAAAGCACTACTGCTCTTACCACCACTCAAGAACAGGATTAGTGTTGCATCAACATTTTTTGCTGAAACAAAGGATGGTTTTATTGCTTCAGGAAAAACAAGTCATGATCTAAATTTAGTTCTCTGGCAGTTTATGTACACACTTACAAAATGGTTCTACAATGACAACAAATTTTCTCATAATACTAACAACAAAGGATTAGAAAGTAGAGATAAAATTTGAAGTAAAAAACAAAAGAAGATTAAGAGTCTTCAATCATTTCTCAGTTCAAACTCATCTTTTACCCTCATCTTGTTAAGTCCCATCAAAATCATTCTCATAGGTATTCTTAGACCATATAATATCAATTCTTTTGTGCATTTCACTCACCTCTTTTTTTCTCTCTCAATCCTAGGCTTCCTATGTTTACTTATCTTTCAGTACTTTCATTATTTATGGGTCACATCATTCCAAGAAAGGAAGTAAAGAAAAGTGGAAGTTTCACAAGTAATTCTGCATACACTGTAAATTAATTACACAACTTGGAATAACTCTGCTTCCCTTGCAGAACAAATCTAATCAATGATCTGGGTTATAGTCAATCTTTTTGCTAACATACCACAAATAAGAATTAAATCTCACCTGATGCTTCATATAATGATGCATATAGGGTGTCGCTATTTTAATAACTTTGAGGCAAAACGGACACAGCAAATTCTTAGTGTTTTCATGAGATCTTCTAAAATGAGCTTCTACATCAGAAAATGATGAAGATCTATAATTACAAACCTAAAGATATGAAATTACAAAGAGAAAACAAGTTATTTTTAAAGGAATGCTTCCTAAAACATAATTAGGATCCCTTCTCTTTATCAGAAAATGCATCATCACTTATTTTGACCTGAATTTTCCTGCTCTGGCACCTCCTATCATATAAAACGTTTCTGATATATAAAACAGCATTCTCCTTTAAATTTTTTTTGGGGGGGCCAGCTCCGCCCATCCTGGTGCCAGGATCAAACCACAGTCCCTGCGCACTTGCCCAAGTAGGCACTTTAGACCGCTGAGCTATCTCGCCTGTCCTCTTCTTTAAGTTATAAATGGCTTCCAGCCTGTAACTGTGGCAACTCTGCTTTCTCTTTCCTATTACTTCAAATTCTGAGAAAGTATTAGTTCCAAAACATTTAACAGGATTCTTTACAACACTAATTTTTATTTCTGTCATGTTCCTACATTCTTCCCTCCAACAGTAAGATACATCCATATGCTCATCTTTCTCCAGAAGTGTCCAGTCCAGGAGAAAACAAACACCCTCTGGGCCAACCCAGCTCATTACCTCCTATAATGCAAGGGTTATGTCACAGGACTTCCTATCAATCACTTAGTTATAAGATAGGCTTTAATTCTAGTAACCAACTTTACCTAAATGTGGAAAAAAATAATGTATTTTATGATATGAAAATTTGATGGAATTCTAATTTTGGTTTTCATAAAGTTTTACTGGGAAAAAGACATATCCATTCATTAATTTCTGGCCTTCATGCTATAATGGGGGTGAAGCTCACTGGTTTTACAACAGATACAGTAAACCCTAAAAATCTGATATATTTACCACGTAGATCATTACAGAAAAAACTTTGTTGATCCCAATTAAAAGAGTTAAAATCTTATAATCAAAACAACAAATAATACAATAAAATGTGCTTATACCTGGCAGATATATGGCATTTCACCGGGTTTATGATTGTCCTTCATATGTTGTAAAAGAATATGTTCTGTTTCAAATGATAATTCACAGATTTTACAAATGGCTAAAAATTGGAGGGAAAATGGTATTACAACACTTTACTATATAAATATCTAAAAATTCATCTTAGAAATCAGAATCAACATAACAGCAGCAGTAATAAAAGTAGTGGTAGAATTGGTGACCAGCTATATTGCTTGTGAACTGAGTACCAAGCAGTTTCAAACACTTCACTTACATTAATGTAATTCCTGTATCAAAACTACGAGAACAGCATTTCCATTTATCCTCTTACTCAAGCAGTAACTTACATGAACTTATACAGCTATAATAAGAGGTAGATTTAGATTCTAAACTCAAGCTGTCTAATTCCAAAATCTGTAATTTTTAATTACAATTATAGCTACCTATCTTATAAATGTTTAAGTGAAGTCTAACTTCACATTTGAAAACTATGATCTTAGGCTTCTAATTTAATTCCCCATACACTATGATCAGTTTATACCAAGGTAGTTATCATAATGGATTATTTGCAAGAACGGCTATAATTTTTGTAAACAATTTTATCTAAAAATTTATTAAAATTAAAATTTAACTTTAATTTTGACCCCAAATTCCAAAGTCCCATTCTTATTCTCATTTTTCTAACAGAACTTATAGTTTGAACAGCTTGTATTGTCAAAATCAATTACACTCAATGCTTAAATGAAATTGCAACATACTAGAAAATTCATGGGGGGTGTGAGTACTTTCAATGTGGCACTGCAGCTGAAAGGGGGTAGGGAACTGTCGATAGCAATGCTGGCAGGTGGTGTGGTTTTCCCAGCTCTCGCTGCTCTGCTTTTCGAGTTCCAAATGGTGTTTCATGTGGTTCATGAACCTATAAAACGATTTTCAACAGGTGCAAAAACTCAGATTTAAAACAAAAAGAAAATTTCATTTGTAAGTACCTGAAACCTAAACATATAAACTGTTATTCACAATAAAATCTAAAGAGCCTAAAAAACTGCTGGAAAAGTGTGCATGTTAAATAATCTCTTTCTTTATTTTTTAAATAATATCAGTGAGAAATAAATATCAATGAGACAGTTTCACAACCGATTACTGACACATTTTCAATAACTGATACATTGCGTATTGTTGTCTTAGCGGTTATTCATTGTACAAGATGCAGACATGATATCCTGTCTCAAACACTATTATAACAAATTTCTCTATTCATTGAATTAAGAGAATGGAGCTGTATATCTATCCTATTTTGAGTATGTAGATACAAAAGGGTCATTCATTTCCATCTCACTTTTTTGGTTAGTTTTGTCAGAGAAGGGCATTCCATTGTCATTTAAATATTGTAGGTGCTTGAATTCAGCAGTATCTCCCAATATAGTCCAGTAGTCCATAATAGTAGGAGGTTTTCTGTAAGACTGGCAATGTCCAAAGTGGTTGACTTCAGCTTTTTACAGCTCAGCATATTAATGTGGCTTTGCTTTTTATACTTCATTTTCATACTTTTCTACTGGATGGTTAAGACCAAGATAAAGCAAGACCTATATAATAAGAAATTTAACTTTTGTATCTGATAAGGTCAGTCAAATCCCCTCAGGATTTAACCTGAAACCCTGTACCACAGTTTGTAGATCATTTGTGAGTGTCAGTCATGTGGATGAGTCACGGCCATTGCTTGACCAATTTGCTCTCTGTGAAAGCCTGAGAGAATATTTTCTCTACATGTGACTCTCCTTAGGCACACTCTACATCATCGATCACATTTCTGTGTGGCTCCATAATCTCCTTGATCAGAAAATGTGGGACACAACTGAGTTACATAATGTTACAGTATAGGTTCTCCTATGTCCTGAGTCCTCACTGACCTTGAAAGGCTAGGACCAAAATGTTGGCTGTCCTTGTGGCTCTACCTTTTCTATGAGGTCTGCTAACTTAGGTTGTTAACCCTCCAGAAGAGAAGCTTATTATTACCCTAAAACATACACAGTTGGGTTTAACCTAACTATCTGTCTGAATATCAAACATCTTAGTCATAACATGGAGTAGGTACTTTCCATCAAGTATTGATATGTTAAACTTTAAGTCCCTGCAGAATATGAAGACAAAAATTAAAAAAACTTGAAAAATGTGAAAAACTATGAGTAAACAATTACATAATTTTACACAGAAATTAAGAAATCTAACCATATACAGCATTGTAACAGGACTGTCCTGTGACATTTTTTTTTCCTGTCTCTTGCTTTCATTTATTGCCCTTTTTTTTTTCTTTAAACATTTACTTGAGAGACAGTATGGCAGTAACTGGTATGTCATGACAAGTAGTACGTATTTAGAAGACCAGAATGACAGGCGTTCCAAGCAAGACCCTACCGTTACACATTGCTATCTTCAGTGCAGTTGCTTAGTTCACAGTTATCAGCATATATAGTCAGTCAAGGTGGGAATCCTACCAATTAACTTCTAGTTTCAAAAACATGCTGCAGATTCTCAGGATCATTGCCTTACCCTTTTTGTGTGTATAAATATATGGCTTTGCCCCGTCATGTTTTCTACATTGTCTCCTTGACCTCTCCTCATTCTCCAATTCTCAAGTTCTTGCTTTCTTTTTAATTGTGTTATACCTTTCTATTTGTATTTCTTCTTTTGAGTTCCTATACTAGAGAGACTATACCATATTTACACACGTGGGTCTGGCTTATTTCACTTTTGAGTATATCTTCAAGTGGTATCCAGTTAAATACGAAGACTTCGAATTTATCATTCTTTATAGCTGAGTAATACTCCATTGTATAAAAATACTACATCTTCTTCATCCATTCCTCAAGTGATGGGCATCTTGGTTGTTTCCAAGATTTGGCTACCACAAATTGTGCTACTATAAACATAGGTATACATATATCACTGGTATGACGTTTTCAGTTCCTCTGGGAAAATTCCCAGTACGAGGATAGCTGGTTTGAATGGGATTTCCAGTCCTAGTTTTTTAAGCAGTCCCACACTGATTTGCATAATGGTTGCACCAGTCTACATTCCCACCAGCAGTGGAGAAGGATTCCTTTTTCCCCACAGTCTCTCCAACATTTGTTGTAGATTGATTTCTTTATGATAGTCATTCTTTGTGCGGTGAGATGGTACCTCAGTGTTGTTTTAATCTGCATTTTAAAACAGGTGAAGCATTTTTTTTATGTGTTTATTTGCTTCTTTAATTTCTTCCTCTGAGAAGTGTGTGTTCATCTCGGATACCCATTTCTGGATTGGGTCTTTAAATTTTGGGGCGCTAATGGTTTTTAGTTCTTTGTAAATTCTAGAGAGCAGACCTTTGTCTGAGTGCTTATTTGTCAAGATTTTTTTCCCAATTTGTAGGTTGTCTTTTCACATTGTTGGTAATTTCTTTTGACATGCAAAAACTTCTCAATAAGAGGAAGTCCCAGTTGTTAACTCTTTCAAGTATTACCCGTGTGATTTGATCTTTGTTCATGAACTCTTTGCCTACCCCTATGTCTTGAAAAATTCCTTCTACTTTCTCTTCCAGGAGATTTAGTGTTTCTGTTTTAATGTTTAGATCTTTAATCCACTTTGACTTTAGTTTAGTGCATGGTGATAGACCTGGGTCACGTTTTAGTTTTCAGCATGTAGAGAGCCAGTTTTTCCAGCACCATTTGTTAAAGAGGCTATCTTTCTTCCAGTGAGCGAATCCACCTTCTTTAAGTTGCTAAGTAAACACCTTTTCATCTTTGTTTTAAAATAACTTATTAAAGTAGTATTTAGTGATATTTCACTAATTTGAGCTATTATTATTTTAACTATTAAAAATTTTAGATAAAAAAGCAGTCTTCGATACCTGAAGCACTATTTATATTTTAAAATAAATGCTAAAAGCAAGGAAACCCTAACTAAAAGCATCTAAAGTCATAAAGAGAAATCTTTCAAGGACTTAAAGTTATACAATAGATTCTAGCTGCTTAAAAGACAACTTATTGTTATTTCTCCTTGGGTCTTGGTTTTTACATCCATGTAATAGCAATTTTAATGCCTACAAGAACCTTCTGTTTCACTTAACGATAGTGGTTTGCTGTGAGCACAGACTGTTCATTCTAACTCCCAGACTATGCCCTTTCCAGGCTATCTCCATTTTTCAGTTTTGCTTTCTGCTGTTTCAGCTTCCCTTAAAAGTCTTCTCATGAGCAGTCTTCTACTATGACCTTCAACAGTAAAGAGTGCAACAGAAATGGGAATACTTATATAAAACAGCTTACCACAACTTTTTACTGAATTTGAAAGTAATGTTATTCAGTCAAAACAACAACTTTTGGAGTGGGTCCACTATCAATAATTACTCATTGCAAGGCCTAAATAAAATAGGTGATAATGGCATCAATCTGGATAACAATCATCATCTCTCTCTCCTGCCTCTACAGAAGTAATCATTACAGCAGGTCCTAGTATGCCTTAAGGTATCTTTTCCTCTACTGTTTTCTAACACTAGCCCTAGAAACACCAACAGAAAACCCTAATCCCCATTAAATAAATATTATGTCCAGAAACAATATCATAAGCCAATGTGCTTTCAGAGTACAGCTTTAAACACTAATATTTCCATATACAAATACTGCAATGAGTCAGCTGAATTCTCTCATATCACCATATGAGCCCACTATGTGGAGCTCATACTTCTTAAACCAATATGTTGGGAACAGGAATAGGGGAAGCAAAAAAGAAAAACTTCTTCCAATTATGTTCATAGAATAAAATAAACCTGTTTTTAGTGACACTCAATCAGAAAGGAAAATGAACAAAAACCATATAGCTTGCTGACAGGTGAAAGCAGAAATCTTAAGCTCTTTTGTTTCCATTCTACTGAAAAACACAATTTGCTTTCCTAGTTTTACTGAGAAAAATAAAGGCAAAATACTGATATTTAATTTTGATTATGAGGTGCTTACCATTAATGTTATATTTACCAAATAGTATTTTTAAATGCTCAATTCATAGATGTATCAAACATAGTACGTTTAAGATTTCTAAATATTCTGGTAACATACATATAACTACTTTTTTGAAGCAATTTCTGGAAAAAGGAAGTCTTCTTTTTTATTTTTGACATTAAATAAGCTCGTCTTAAATAAACCCAAAACCTACTGCTAAAATAACTTGTAATATAGTAAGTATCACATTTAACCAGGAATTAAGTCAATGAACCATACTTCTCTACCTATCTATTAACATGACTTTCTGGTGTATTTTTCTATTATAATAACGGTAAGAATATGGAAATAGGTAGAAGAGTTACAATAGTGTATCAGTGTTTTATTTCAAAGCACAAATCCTCTTCTGCTAAACTACTAAGACCATTAGTTCTAGATGGCTGTTACAGTATAAGAGGTAAAGATATGTGAAAATTATTGTAAAATAAATATTGAATTTCGAAAACTATAAAAAAACTACCATAAAGAAAACATTAATAATTATTGTAAGAGAATACTACAGAAGAAAACAGGAGAATAGATGCTAGGCCCACAAGTAACTACAGCTACTAAAAAAACGCTAGTTCAGATGATAGTTATCAAGATTAAAAGTCATACATATTTATGTATGTATATATTTGTGTGTACACAAATATAGCTTACATAAGGAAAGTATACTGATACCCCAACTTACTTTGAAATGAATCACCGAAAAGATCAGACAGAATGAAGGAAGCATGGAGAAAAATATGATGAAGCGATGAACAAAATGTTAAAGGTAGAATCAAGGTGGTGAGTATAAAAGAGCCCAAGGTCAAGCTTGAAATTTTTTGATGAGTAACTGAAACTTTTTATAATAAAATGGCAGAAAATCACCTTTCCTAATAAAAATATCAGATTCTACACTCATTGAAAAATATCATTCAATAGGTCTTTAGTTTGTTCTTATTACTGACTTATATAGTATCTTCCTATTGTATCATGTAACTCACGGACTATAAAGTATAAGTTCCTAAAATATCAATTTTCTGAATATACAAAATTGAAAATTCCACTGGGAATAAAAATGACTTTTTAGCTGCCTGTAATCCCAGCTCTTGGGAGGCTGTAAACAGGCGGATGACTACAAGTCTAATCTAGTAGTGAAACCCTGAACACCTTGTAGACCCTTCTTTAAAAAAAAAAAAAAAAAAAAAAAAAAAAAATCTTTTTAAAATCAAATTAGTCTCCTAGAACTAGTGTAGCTCTAAAAATTTGGCTTTTTCCTACAAGATAATGTTCTAAAAATTGTAAATATGAATTAAAAGATTTGAACATTAAATAGAGTATTGCAGAGAAGGTCAAATTGGATACTTCTGAAGAAGTGCTCCTTCTTGTAACGTAAAACAAAAAAATTCAAAGACATACACAGAATGAAATATGCCTAATAAAAATTAGGTACTTAGATACTGCTGGAAGAAAAGTAAGTTTATTCTGTCTTAAATTAAAGTGAACTTTGTCTTTTCTTAAGCTATCTGAAAAATATAAGTGGATCCAGGAGTTAAAAATACAAGGATAAAAGCTTTCTAGTAAGAACATCTGCTTTTGTTCTTAGAATCAAGTGTTTAAATTACTTATCTAAAATAGTATAGAAAAATCAAATCAGAGAGATAACACTTGTATCTATAGCATTTCAACTTTTAAATAGAAACAAAAATAAGTATTTACATACCGAATATTATTTTTTAGAATTTTCAAGCAACTGAAGCATTTAAAGGTTGTGTGAGTCTTCTGTTCTTCCTGGACATCTCCTTCATGTTTTCCATAATAAAAGTCATTAACTAACATGATCAATTTTCCTTTCTCTGAATCAACAGACTTATTTGCTGTGTTTGAAAATTCTGTTTTAGCCAGTCCCAAAAAATTATTTATCATGTCTGGACAACAATACTGAAAGAGAAAAAAATTGGAACCTTTTTTTTTTAAAAAAAAAAAAAAAGAAGATTTTGTGTTTACAACTAAAGCCAGACCATGTAAAACTCTGTTTGGTAATATATTTGAAAAAGTAGTCACCAAAAATTTGTGGTGCATCCACAGTCTAAACGATTCAAACAATAAACACCTACTATCTTAACAAACAAAATTTTTTTTCAAAAAAATGAAAAACTTTAAAACCAGGACTTGGCTATAGACTTAATACTTTTCCCTTGCTATTTATCGTTTAGTATATTTAATAATTTGTTAATCAAAAATCATTCATTTTTATATCTTTGTCAAGAGTGTAGGAGGGAAATACATTTTACATTCCCTAACGTATATGTCTAATTATCATGTGATATATAAAATGTCATAGTCTGGTCGGAATTAAACTGAACACAGCTAATATGCTATTCCCCAGAACCAAAATACTAGAAAAATGCATGGAACACAAAGAGAAATGCATTTCTTCTATCTTGATATCCAAAATGCTTAAAGGTTTGAAAAGAAAATTTACCACCTCATGGTAAAATGTCACATAAACTTTTCCCGATATGTAATACTTTCATACATGAGCATTTCTTTTTCCAACAAGATAAAGCTAATTCATTCAGTGTACATAATTTTCAGCTATAAGACTTCTTTTTCTAAAACAGTATTTATCATAAGAGCACACGCCCAGAAAGACCAACAATGAAACACCTAGAACTGCCATAATGTTAAATGCACCTATAATCCTAGACATTGTGAGTTCAAAGCCATCTTGAACTCAAAAGAAAAAAACAAAACAAAACAAAAACAAGGGCCAGAGACACCACCTGCCTGGCAAGTACAAGGTCCAGAGTTCAATTTCTTGTACCCCCCCCTCCAAAGAAAACCTAACAAAATAAAATGTGAGCCCTACTTCAGACCAAATAAACCACAGTGTCTAGATATAGGGCTTAAAAGCTGTATTTTTTAACAAGCAGCCCAAGAAATTCCTTTATAAATTACATGTTTCCTCAATGTTGCCTCTTACATTATCAGCAACACAAGAAAAGTTTGAAAATCTAAATACAAACTTCTACTTTTAAGAAACCATTCACTTCCTCTTCTGCCGCATTTGAAAGATTAAAGTAAAACACTCTATACTATAAGAGAACCCTTCAACTAACGGTACATTTATAACTTTTCTTTCAAAGTTACACTATATTTATTTTGTGTCACTTGTCAATTTTAAAATCTACAAAGAACTCAAAGACTCTAACGTAGACGAAGAAAAAGAGAAAAATGCTAAATAAGTTGGACCAACAAAAGAGTGACACAGAGCTCAGGGCAGTGTGGTGGTGCACACCTGTAGCACAAGCACTCACGAGGATGAGCAAGGAAAATCGCCTTGAGTTGGTGGCCAGCCTGGGCTACCCAATGAGTTCAAGGGCAGCCTGAACTACAGGGAGACTGTCTCTCACACACAAAAAGTGATATCTCTTAGCCTATACTTATTTAAAATTGAGGTTATACCCACAAGCAAAATTAGTGCAAATACATTAGCTCATTAATGTAGCATGATTCTCTGTATTCTCTACTCAAAATAAATTAGTTGAAATGGAACCACAATGAAGAGAAATTTTAAAAGTTTTTTTAAAATTTATGTTTCTACATTCTTTTGAGATACATATATGCTAGCTGGGTGTGGTGGCATATGCCTGTAATCCCAGCGGTTGGAAGACTGAGGCAAGATCACCCAAGTCTGAGGCCAGCCTGGACTACACAATGACCTCAACAGCAACCTGAAATACATAGTGAGACCATGTCTCAAAAAACAAAAACTTAAGTGCTCAAACTTAGGAAAGACAGACTATTTCTAAAGGCTTATTAAGACTTATGCCTTACTAGTAATTATGTACAGCAATGACATCATTTTGATGGACAAAACTCTTTTATTTGCACTTTTTCTGTAGGGAAGACCTCAAGCAACGAGAGATAACTATAATGCACAAAAATTATGTAATGTAAAATAATCTTCCTAATGAGAAATATTGGATAATTTCATTATTAATGTACGGCCGTAATGGGATCTGAACCCATGGCCTCAGCCATGCTAAGTAAGCACTCAGCTGCTGAGCTACATCTCCAACACAAAATGTGAATAATCTTACATCTCAAACAGTTTGCTGAACTATGGCTTTCACCAAAAATTACCAAGTCTTTTTTTTTTTTTTTAATATGGAGTCTTGTTGTGCAGCTCAGACTGGTAGTGACCCTCCTGTCTCAGCCTCCTAGTGCTGGGGTTACAGGCACGCACCACCATTCCCAGTTCTGGGACCATAGTGTACTGGAAATCTAACTCGGGACCTCGCTCTTGCCAGGCAGGTGCTTATGCTGCTGAGCTATCTCCCCAGCCCTAGTGAATCATATTTGGCACTTGATTCTTTTCTGAAATCTAAAAGGCAATCTAAATAATCTACAGTAGAGTATACTGCAAGGTTTATATTCTCCAAATGTCTAATTTGGTTTCTATGAAAATTAAAGGTTATTTTAACACACTCAGAAAATATGATACACATAACAGATGATGACTTGCTATTCTCTTTCTTTTTACAGAAGAGACAGGATCAGAATTATAAAAATACAAGGCTTATACACAACACCTTTTAAAAAATGTTTTAGGGCTGAGGGTGTAGTTCACTGGCACAGAACCTGCCTGGCAAGCGTAAGGTCCTGAGTTCATTTCCTGCAACCCAAAGAAAAGTTTTAGTTTCCTATGAAAGAGCTTAATACAAATTACTGACAACCAAAAACGGACAGCAAAATATAGTATGTGTGTGTGTGGGGGTGTCTAATCATTTAAAATTTAGGCAAGCAAATTATGTTAGAGAATACTCACAAGTCAAAAAAGGAATTTAAGAAACGACAAATAAGCTTAGATTCAGGTTCTCTATGAGGGCAGTATGCAGTCTAGTACACCGTGGAGCTATGATCCAAGATCAACTATTATTTTTTATTGTTGTTGTTGTTTTTAACATATTTTAGTACAGGGTCTACAGGGTCTCACTACACAGGTGGGATTACAGGTGGGTGCCACCACGTCCAATCGCCGACTTGTGTTCCTGGGGGCCAGGCCCACATGGCAGGCTGGGAATCAAATCCCTGGCCCCTGCATCTGCCTAAGCAGGTGCTTTAACCCACTGAGCTATCCAGCCGGCCCTTAAATTTTTTTATGTTCAACTGGTTATCTTTTTTTTTTGGCAGAACTGGGAATTGGACTCAAGCCCTTGCGAATGCCAGGGAAGCACTTATTCCACTGAGCCATCTCCCCAGCCTGTCAACTGGTTATCTTTTACTCAGCCCCAGAACACTTTTGGCTCTAGCCCTTTACTATAACCCTTTATATATTCCTTATTTTCCTGAGTTAGCTATTCTGCAAATATTGAACACTTCTGATGCCACATGCCAGTAACAGAGGATCTTTTAGTGCATTCAATAACAACCCGTTACAGGGTGCATACTATAGATTCACCACTGCCATATATGATAGTCTGACAGATACCAGATACACACTTACCATCTTTATACCTTCTAGTACATAGACCAGGTTCTACTGTTTCTTAGTACATATATTTAGGATTTTTAGAGCAAAGAAGGTGGGAACCATGTTTTATTTTTGTTTTTTGAAATGGGGCTTTCACTACATTGCCCAGGCTAACCACAAACTCATTCTCTGAAGTGGTTACGGTTACAGGCATATACCACCAAAACAGGGCTAACAGATGCTATTTTAAATATTAAATAGGACTCCTCAGATCAGAAGTCACCCAAAAGTCAAACAACCAAATTCCACAAATTTGATTTTCACTGTAACTAAGAGCCTAAGTAAATCCACAAACACCATAACACACATACAATATTGCATAAAGCACCCAACATTGGGTATGGAACTAGGAATAAATCAGAGAAGAGAACCAAATGGTAACAGAACTGAAGAGAATCAGTAAGAAAATTGGAAATAAAGCTCAATACTAGAGCACCTGCCTACCATGCACAAGGCCCTGGGTTCAATTCTCAAAACTGCAGAAAAAAGAGGGGGGTCTGTGAAAATGTATATCCCAAGGATAAGAGAATATATATTCTGAAATGTAAAACTATATTCTCAAAAGTAGGATTACCCCAGACCAGATTTGATACAGCTAAGCTGAAAAGGTGCTGCATGAAGAATCAGATGCATACTTGCCAGAAGCCTCTGCTTAGCAAATACTGTGTAACCAGACAGAGTGTGAAACGGTCTTGGCAACCTACCTTCCCTCTCAACAGGAAATGTGTACAAAAGAGCTAGCCTTTCAGGCCAGCTTTTACAATATGACAGGACTTGCTAACATGTAAAGATTTTAAGTACTTTAAGACAAAAAAGTACCAGAAAATGTAAAATTCTAACAAAATACATGTCATAGAACAGATGCAAATGAAAATAGTGGCCCAAATTTTAAAAATTTAATGAAGCAATTGTTGCTACTTAAAGACCAAAAAAGCAAGACAAGATGGTAATATAAGACTACAGTATCAAGAGAAAAAGAGGAAAAAAAAAAAGAAAACAGATAATAAGTTAGAGATAAGTACAGTGCTAACCAGACATTGCAAAATAAAAGATGCAAAGACTAATAATGAGGAAAGCAAATAACTGCTTTAAGAATGAATTAAAATAATTAGAAAGAAATACGTATGTCAGGCAACAAAAAAAAAAAAAAAAAAAAAAACAAATTTATATTGGGCATACAACGACATAGAATGTAAATGTTTTGAAATACAATTCAAAGCCAGGCATGGTAGTGCATGCCTATAATCCTGGCACTCAAAAAGCTGAGATAGGAAAATCACCATGAATTTTTGTATGATGAGGAAAACAGACATAAAATTCCCAACATTGTTAATGTACTGTAAAATTATCAGTCTTCAAAAATAAAGATTCCTCGAGACTGCCTGGCAAAAAGATCCGATCAATAAAAAGGGCAAAATAATTGACTTATCCCAGACCTTTCAACAGCAACTTTTAAATACCAACACAATCCTCAAAGTGAAATCCAACTTTATTTTCTATTTGGCCAAACTGCTTTTCAAGAATGGGTTATAATCTTTTTGTTTGTTTTCTTTTTTTTCCCTTTGCGGAGCCAGGCACTGAACTCAGTCCCTTGCCCGTGCCAGACAAGTGCTTATCAACTGAGCTATTTCCCCAGCCCCTAAGAATGGGTTACAATCAAACCGTTCTGAACATGAAAAAATTTAGAGTGATGTCCTAGAGCCTTCAGAAGGAAATTACAAAAGGACAAACTTTAGCCAAACAGAAAACCAAACAATCTATGTCAGAAAGACTGGTGGTGAGCACTGAATATATTTACTGTGTAAAGAGAGTAAAAAAAAATGTGGAGAAATCAAATGTAATGTTACATCCCCTAAAGATGAAAAACAGTACAACCAATAAGTACAAACTGGGAGAGGTAAAGGATCAAGAAGTATGAATTTTACAAAGTTTATACACAGCCTCACAAATAATAAAAATAAACCAAGAAGTATCATTTAGAGTCACCAAATGAAGGTATATATAAGAACACATTTTAACAACAATGGAAACAGTAAAATATAATTGCATGCCCAGTGTGAATTTATTTGATTTTCTTTACCTGACATGTCTATCATATTTTATTTTCATTTTAAATTTTTAAAAAAATTATTTGCTTTTCTCATTATTAGCCCCTTAATAAAAATTAAGTGCTACAGAAATCAAAGATAGGTTGGTAGTGAATAGAAACTAGTTTATTACTATTTAATAGATGAAAATACTAGAGAATAGCCAAAGGAATAAAGGACAGCTAAGTGTTATACAATATAAAAGTTATACAGATAACCTGAATAAAATTATATCTTCCCTAAAATCCAAACTACCTATAAAGTATCCACACAGTGAAAAAGCTTTTAAAAAAAAAAAAAAAAAAAAAAAGGGGCCAGCAAGATAGCTCAGCGGACTAGGTGCTTAGGCAAACATAGGGACCAGGGTTTGGCCCTTGGTACTGAATGCTGTGCCAGCCCCACTCTCAGGCACGTTGAGGCGGAGGGGTGGCATGTGTCTGTAAGCCAGCGCTGGGTAGGCTAAAAACAAGAGGATCCCTATGAGTCAGAGCTATGTAGCGAGACCCTGTACTAAATACATTAAAAAAAGAGAGAGTAAAAACACATTAAAGAAATTGTGACCAACCATAAGCACATAAATCTATTTTATCAATTAATGTAAATCGAATTACTAACAAGGAAAAAGAAACTTTTCATTTGGATCACAAAGGAAAAACCTTCTGAAAGCAAAAGAAAAACCTTCTGAAAAAGTGATTCAGAAGTACTAAAGAAAGTAAGTATTTTGAGCCTAACAACAAAGTAGAATTTGGGATAAAGCCATTAACTACTAGGGCAAAGGACACATTGAAAATATGCAGTTTTAAAAGCTAGATTTTTTTATATAACAAACAATAGCAGCAATATTGAAAACAAAACTAGCTACCCTACCACTGCATTAACTACCAAACTGAGACTTCCAAACATTTTAAGAATTAAATATTGAAAGAATTTCACCTTCATGTGATTCTTCAGAGGATCCAAAAGATTGAAATGAATATTGCACTTTGGACAAGCTCTTGGAAAAGGTGCTCCATTTTTAGACTGATCTGATGAGGTATTTGCACCTAAAATAAATTTATGGTTCGAAACTCATCATACTTTAACTTGCATAACCCTTAAATTTTCAACAATATCCAAAATTTTTGTATAAATATTAGTAATTCCTTTTTTATGAGTCAGACTTCATATTCACCTTTCGACGGCGTCACCTGGGGAGGTGTCTGGGGAGAAGATTTAACTGAAGGGAACACAGCTGGAGAATTTTTTCCAGAAACACTTTCACTGGGCTTAGGCTTTTTGGGGTTAACACTGTCTGCTTCAGAAGCAGAAGGTCGTTTTGATGAACACGAACTTTCACTGATACCTAGAATGATTTAAATATTTAAATCACTTAAATTAAATTTAAATTAAAGTGCTTCTGAGCTAAATTACAACTAGCATAATTGAGTTATATCATATAAATAGAAATTAAGTGATCTAAGCCCAAGATGGGTAAAGAAATAACATGAATATTTCTTAACTATATATATCCAAATTAATTTGCAAAACATTTTTACACAAAAATTGTACATAAGCTTCAAATAAACAAATATGTATGCAGATATTATAATAAAAGAAGCCAGACCAATGTATCACATAAGCAAAAGAAAAGTTAAAGCAGAAGATATTCTATTTACAAATGAATTGTCTTTAGATGCTTAAGCACATTAGATAGTATTTCAAAAATGACAGAAATAACTTTTATTTCTTGCAAAACTTAACATCCTTAAAATTTTTTATTTAATAACTTAAATTATGAATGTGTTATTTCTCTCATCTAACAAACTGAAGAAAGGTCTTCTCTTGGCTTTAGCTAATTTTATTCATTTACTGCTATGCACGATGTGATACTCACTTATATGAAAGGAGACACAATGCAAGGAGTTATCATAAGGATTTTCATACTATATTCTCCAGAGCTTAATGGGTTCATTTAAAGAATAAAGTGGGCCTGTATGACAGAAAAACTCTTTTCCATTTTATTTATTAGACCCTTGCATAAAGTTGTCTGTACAGGGATCTTATTCCTAAAAATACTTTCCCATTTGAAAACAATTACCTAAAGCTAAAGGAGGTTAGCCTTATTTTGAGCATTAACAAAAGAATGGGGATACTCAGGCTGTCACCAGAACAGGCAGACTCCTTTTGGAAACTTAATACACAATGTACCTTATAAAAAAAGACTACAAAAATGCACATCAAATATAACTTAATAACACTAACTGTACACTAAAAGTAGTAGCAAATATATTAGAAATATTCCAGGTCAGACATAAGAGATCAGGTCCAAACTGCCTGTCTCTCCAGTTATGTGTTCTTAGCTTATTTCTCTGAATCTTAGTTTCCTTTTTTGGAAAATTATCTTTTATTGTACAGAACTGTTTTAGGGATACATAAGATAACATTTAAAGCATTCCAACAAAATATCACACAGATAGTACTCAATAATTACTGACAGCTACTGTCATGACTAACAAATATTTTATATCCTAATTTAGAAGGAAAAATTATTTCAACAGATTCACCTATAAGTGCTTTAATAAAGGAAAGCACACCAGGCTTGTACTAGTCAACTGATTATACCATCTGATTATACTAGTCAGAGTCTCTGTTTCAACCTTTGAGACAACATGAAAATTATTTTACCCTGTTTTTAAAACATTTGATGACATGCAAATATACTACAGGTACATAAGAAAAGATTCTGTGTAATTATATTAGCATTTAGGTTACTTGAAAAACCAGTAATTTCTAGGATTTTGAACTAAGCAACTGATTATGTAACAAGTTAAATGGCAGAAACAGACTGTTTCAATGTAAGACTATAAGAAATTGAAACATTAAATAATCACTCTGCATTTCTTTTGTGAATTACATGTATTTGTTGTTAGGCTTAGGCTATTCCATACCCTCAAAAGAATTCCTTTTGTGCTAGTTAAAATCTAATTCTTGGTCAAAATCAAGCTCAGATTCAATCCTCTCCAAACCCCCACAATCTGCATAGATAGCCGTCTATTAATCATGCTGCCAATCATATAGCACATCATTACTCACAATTATGACACATAACAATCATTTATTGTTAAGTTCTTTAAGCCTTACACATTAATTTTTAAAGTCAGATGTGGTGATACATACCTGTAATACTAGCTACATGGGAAGCTGAGGCAGAAAATCTAGTTTGAGGCCAGTGTGAGCAACTTAGTGGGACCCTGATTCAAAATTTAAAATTATATAAAGGTGGATTTAGTTCAGTGGTAGAGTGCTTGCCCAGCATGCACCAGGTCCTGGGTTCAATATCCAGCACCAAAAGAATTAGAAAAATAAAATGAAAGATGTCCAGTAAGATAGCTCAGCAGACTAAGGGCCTGCTTAGGCAAGTGCAGGGATCGGGGTTCAATCCCTGACACCACAGGACAGGCTGACCCTGCCCTTGGGCCACAGAGGCTGGGCGTGGTGGGACACACCTATAATCCCAGTGCTGGAGAGGCTGAAACAGGAGGATCAGTACAAGTCTGAGCTGCATAATGAGACCCTGTACCAAATTTTCTCCATTTCTTTTCATTCTTACACATTCCATTAATTGGACGTTTGCTAAGTATCTAACTGGCACTCAGAAGTGTGCATTAAAGGAAGTACTATTAAAGTGGATGCATCCCCAGAATCCCAGCACTCAGGAAGAGGAGCTAAGAGAGTCACTGAGTTCAGGGCCAGCCAGGCCAACAAAAGTGAGCTTAAGGCCAGCCTGCACTTTACAGTGAGGCCCTATCTCAAAAAACAAATGCATAAACAATAAATAAACAGATAAAATGGAAAAACAATTGAATCAGTACTATTACTATTTTAAAAAATTGTAAAAGAGTATGGTGAATTCTCCACACTGTTCTGCTTAATAAACTAAGAATTTTTTAAAAATCGTATCTCTCTCTCTTAGGTCAAATATTTGCAATACAATACACACAAATAGCTAGCATACGAAACTTTTCTGTTTGGTTATAAGGAAATTTCAACTTGACAATATTCCTTTATAGCATACTAATGTATTTTAGGTTTAATGAAAAACTTTATCATAGTGTTATATACACAAACTTTAAATCTTCAATAGGTAAATTTCATTACTCATCCAAAGGGATTTACTGAGTATTTACTATGTATAAATCCCTATACAAACAAATCACTTTTAAAAATCATACTTAACCATCATACTGAAATCAGTATTGGAATAGACTACTATTCTATTAACTTAACTAAGATACCAACTATAGCCATATATTTTTTCATACTAGTGGTTATGTAGACTTTAAAACATAAATAAATAAAACAAAGTCTTGCTATGTAGAACAGGATGGCCTTTTGTTTCCCAGGCTGGCCTCAACCTCACAGCGGTCCTCCTGCCTCAGCCTCCCTAGTGCTGGGATTATAGGCATGCACCACCATGCCCAGTGAAAAAAAATTTAATAGAGTATTTAGAATATCTAAGGACTTCTCTCAGAAATTAAGACCTCTTGTTGTTTTTTGAGTGTATCCAAGTGAGAATGAACTCAAAACAGTTTATCCAAGGATATATATATATATATACTCCAAAAAGGCATTTGAAAGTCATTATCACCAGTTCATGACATAAGGGTACAGGTTTCAAAACAGAAAGATATTTCCATACTCATCTGTTTTCTTTTGGCATTTTTAGAGAAAAGAACTAAAACCTACCTGTCATAGAAAGTGTTGGTCCCCTTTGGTAATGTGATAATCCTGCATCCTGGGTCAAATCAAACAGTAACTCTGAAGAATTATTAGATACAGTTTGCGATGCATTCGTTATACAACCCTGTTAAAATATTTTAAAGAACAGATATTATATCTATTTACTAGTTATAATTATCTTGCTCAATAAACTTTTATAAAGGCAAATTTAACAATAGACCAATAATTTCAAGGATAATTCTGATGATTCAATTATTAGTAAGTATAAAACCAAAAAGTAATTACGAATTTGTAAAACTGATCCACAGAAGTTGAAAGCAAGCTAATATAACCGCTTTACTCCTTACTAGCTAACTATAACCAGCCTAGTTTAGGGACAAATTCTAGTACAACTTTTTCAACACAAAAAAAAAAGAACTCCCTTCCTATCAGTAAGACTGATGCACTGTATGGTGATTCTAACAATGCAGTATTACCATCAAAGAGCAATTAATAGTGAAGCAGGACTTAAAAAGAAGAAAAAAATGTTTCCCCAACCTAAGAAACCTCCCTCTAGATTTATCCCTCCCTCCAGCTGCTGTCCTTTGTTCTAATACTGATAAAATCAGTAACTTTTGTCCCCGTACAGAAGTTTTATAACCTCCTGTGCTCATAACAATCTGTCATGCCCAAGCAGGGCCACTAAGATATGCTAAGTTGCAAAGCTGTCAGAGCTTGACAAGCTGCCTGCTTTTTTTCTCCTTCTGCAAACCTACTTCCCTACCCACAAGTTTCATGTCTTTAAAGAGACCAATTCCCTCAACAACATGTATAAAACTAGAGCCCTTCCTTAGTTCAGGGCTCAGCCCTTTGGACACCAGTCCTCTGAGTCCATGTACCTCTTACAAGAAATCATGTTTCACCCCTCATCTCTTAAAATCTGCAACATCGCCTGGGAATTATGAAGGGAGTAGAGACAGCAGGCACCCTGGGTCCTTTGCCTGCAGGGCCAAGTGGTCCACTGGGGAGACTCCAAGACCTCCAGTGCCACTGGGTAAGACCTAAACTCAGCAAATCAGCTCTCTCACAGCCCCAATGTACCCCTAGTCAACACAGCAAAATTGGAGAGGATACAGGAAGAGTGTGAAGCAGCATGTTACAGGACAATGGTAAGCTTATGGGGCCCAAGGTAGAACCCAGCCCACAAGAATGGAAAGGAGAGCTTGATCACCTCCCAGAATGTACCAAGTAGTCTGACTTAGACTGAGTTGGACTAAACCTATAGCCCCAAGTCAGGATCAGTGAAGTGGCCCACAGCAATAGTTCCTCACAAGAGGTATGCCCAATAGTCAGACCCAGGCAAGTCTGGATAAAACCTAAAGCCAACCTGGAAAAGGAACCTGGGATGGGGGAGGTATATGATTGTGTATGAATGAGCAGAATTAAGTGAGTGGGGCTGCAGGTCTCAGTGTGGACTATCCATGCTGGACAGGTGTGGGGCCAACCAGAACTAGTAGCAATCAGCATAAATAAGTTACGGGATCTAAGTTTGGACTTACACAAAGCCTCTGACTGCAAAGCAGCTCCTGAAAACTCCTGTAACGGGGATGTTCTAATTTGTCTAAGGCAAAATGACTCAGTGAAGGACTGGGAGATAGCTCAGTGACTTAAGTGCCTACCTGGCAAGTGCAAGGTCCTGAGTTCAATCCCTGGTACCAAAAAAAAAAAAAAAAGGCTCAGTGATTTATGCTGCAACAAACAACAAATGGGAGGAAAAGCACTGAAACACAACCCATTAGAATGTATGTGAAAGACTGACCTTATCCTCTGTTTAAAAAAAAAATGTAAATTATAAGGTCCAAAAAAGATGTTCAAAATCTTTCATTTCCCCAAACACCAAAGAGTGAATCAACAGGGGCTCAATCCCTCTTTCCCATGAAGGAAGTTCCCGTGGGCAAGGGAAAATCAGGTGCAACAAATCATAGCTAACTGATTTGCTTTTGGCTTCCAATTTAATTTTGTATTACTGTTTGGTTAATATGTTTAAAACATTTCTTATGCATTATAACTACTTAAACTATAACTGCAGGATTAACTTGCTCTTTTGTTGTCTAATGGTTTAAGATAAAAATACTGATCGAAGGTTACTTGGAAGTCTGTTGGCAGTTAATCAAATTTAAAAAGTAACAATCTGAGATCAAAATAAAATATTTTCAAAAAAGAAAAGGAAATTTTTAAACCCAAGTGGCTGCAGCCAAGCCAGTTATAAAGTTTATAATAAATGGAAAAGAAAAAATATTAAAAGACTTTAAATATAAAAGACAAACTTTTGACATGAAAGGATTTTTAAAAACTTGTCCTGCTAAAAAGACAGATGACAATATAGAAAGTTCACATACGCCCCCCAAAAGCTTATGGAGTACTTTCAAAAAATATGCAATTTCCTAATTGGTTTGGTAGAGCACAGGCTGCTCCTTCTAAAAGCACCTTGTTACTCAAAAGGAACTGGGGAAGGGAGGGATGATCAGTCACTCCTGCCTAGGTCTCAGCAATCCTCTTCATTTGACTTGGTCTTTAACACCCAAAGAAATACTAAACATATCTATTGGCTTTGATATTAAAAAAACATTGGTTATTACAGAGATGATAGACTTTTATGTGGTAGTAAGTGTACATGTGGTCATTAACACATTTAAAATTCTTTGTAAAACTAACTGGCCTTCCTTTGATGTTTGGTGGCCAGCTGAGGGGACAACAGATTAAAAAAACAATTGGGCACATATATCAGGTAGTGACCAGGGCCAGAGGACAGCAAGGACATCGACATCTACTCATAGCTAAGAATAGTCCAGACCTAACCTACATGGCTACAACCCTGCCTGGCAAACATATTACAAAACAGGCATGGCCTAAGCTAAACCTAAAACAAAAGAGATAAAGACATGAGCCCTGCTGGGTGCCACTGGGATGAAAGAAAGCACTGCATAAGGCTAACATTAAGGAGTGCCTTGCCCAGCTGGGCAAGACATCAAAGAATGAGCTCCAGTGACACTTGGTAGTGGAGGAAGTGCAGCAGTGCCATGAGGCTGAAGAGCACGCACTGAAGAGCCTGAGAGCTGAGGATAAAGCAGTGCTGGAAGACACTGAGCAGCTCAAGGCCAACATCAAAGAGGCCTGCAAGAGTGAACAGAACAGAAGGTAGCTTGCCAGCTACAGCTGGCCCAGGAAACTTCCCAAAAGCAACTACAGACAGAGAAGACACATGAACATGCCTGAGTGAGTGCCTGTGTGGCAAGGCAGAAGCAACCTGGCAAGTGACTAAAGAGGCCAAGGAGGCTCGAGAGCATGCTGAGTGTGAAGCAATGCAGTCCCACCAGCAAAGAAATAGCAGCTAAAGCAGCTGCCAGAGGAACTGACATAGGCTAAGGCTAAGGTCCAAGTCCTGAGGAGAAGCTGTGCAAGAAAGCCAAACAGGAGGCAGCCCAGAGGGCACAGGCAGAGCAAACACTCTTGAAGCAAAAACAAGCAGCTGATAGAGCTAGAAAACCACAAAAAGCTTACAGAACAGACACTACAACAGAAGGCCCAGTAGGAATGGGAGCAAATGTCAGAGACAGAAGCCACACTAGAAAAACAGCAGCAGCTGGCCAAGGCACATGCCGAGGCCAAGGTACAGGCACAGCCAGAGACACAGAATGGCAACAGTGAGTACAAGAGTAGGTGGCATGGTGGAAAGAGGCAACAATGAACACACAACAGCAGAAACACAAAATCCAGAAAAAGCTAGCTCCCCTCCAACAGAGCTCGGAGGCAGAAATCCATGTCAACACTCAGCAGGCAGAAGCAACTAAACAGCAGACTGCATATCAAACAGAAGATCCACATGGTACACCTACAGCTGGTGATCCAGTCATGAACATAAAACAGCTCACCTTAACTATGTACCACCAAGGATTCAGAAACTCTCCTACAACTGTTAGAGAGACACTGGACACTGACCTCAAAGCCTTCATCACATTGGGGGTAGCTGCACCTTGCCACAGTATGTACATGACCTTCTTTTAGCAACCCCCCTCCAAGGACCACTATCAAGACTCTTTCATCTATTTTGGAAGGGTAGATATAAGGTATCTAAACAAATCCACAAATTTGCCAACAGGTAGTCAAATAGTTAGGCTTCATAGTGATACAAGCAGAGTGCCAATTAGGCATTGAGCAGAAACAGGCTGTTTATTTCTTCCCAATTCCAACTACTGGTGCCACATAAAAAAGTTCTTGGGGCCAATAGAATTCTGTCATATCTTGATCCCAAGTTCTCACTTATGGCTAAGCCTTTATATAAAACCCCCAAAGGAAGGGGAAAGAGCCCCTCCCCTGGGAAGCTGACCAGGAAAAAACATTTTAAAAAATTAAAAAGGCTCTAATTCAGGCCCCAGTCTTAGGTCTATCACATATAACCAAGCCTGTCTCTTTGTATGTCGACAAATAAAAGAAAATTATCAGAGGAGCCCTAATTCAGGTTGAGATCTTGATATCACATTGTAATACACCTAGACTTTGTGGCCTTAGAATGGCCTCCAAGCTTAGGACACTTGCTGTCACTGACTTGCTGACACAGGAGGCTGACAAGCTGACCTTGGAACAACAGCTGACCATTCAAATATCACAGTTACAGCCTTAACAGACCAGAAAAGGCACTACTAGTTGTCAAATCCAAAGACAACTAATATCAGGTCCTTCTCTGCAAAACTCTATAGAATCAGTAAGTACTCTTAACACAGCTACCACAGACGAAGTTATTCTCTAGCCAAGGAGATCTCATAGATCACCCCCGGAGGACTCAGATGTTGATACGTTACAGATGCAAATAGCTCTGTACTAGAAGGGGTCCTCCGGGCAAGGCATGCCAATGGTGACATTGGAATATGTGATGAAAGCTCAGTCTCTACCTACTGGAACTTCAGTCCCAAAGACAGAAATAACAGCTTTAACAAGGGCTCTTTCTCTAGAAAAAAACAAAAAAGCTTAACATTTATACTGATTCAAAATGTCTTTACTATGCTACATGTTCACAGAGCTATACATAAGGAAAGAGGGCTATTAACTGCTTGGAAACAAAAATAAAGTCCAAAACCATTTTTTACA